TACGTGTCGTTCCACAACAATACCAATTCAGTCCCATCTGATCAGCTCTGAAAACAAACTGGCGAATAAACAGGAGGTGAAATGCAAAAACAAAAACACACAGCACAGCCAAAGTACATCTGTGTGTCTGGCTGTTGGGACATAGCTTAAAAAAAAAAAGTTCAATTTTCTTTGCATTGATGCAAGAACTGGCTGATGATGAAGGACGGTCTTTCTCTCACCATGTGGTTTGGGCTTTGAGAGAACACAAGAACCTTGTCATAATGGCAGTTTAGTCATCCTTTCCCCTGCTTTCATCATGCTGTCATTGCCGCCCATCTTTGCAGTAAATGGCTGTTTAAAGCTCATTAAATTACACATGTACAGCTTTAGAAAGTAAGGACGTCTATGTTGAAAACAAATCGAGCGCAAGAATACAATGAACATACTTTCCGCAATGCCTTTATTTGTCTCGATGAATATGTTTACACAAGAATGTCGTCGGGAATTGGGCATTTAAGCGAGCACTGTATTATATTCATGGATTGGGGACGATATACATTCATAACCAGAGCTGGGCAATGAAAACATTTTGTGGGCTGCGCACCCGTCATCATCATTCTTACCTTATTTCAAGTCATACCAAACTGTAATCATCATCTTTGTTTAACCAGGTTTCCATCGTCGCTAAATTACAGTTACAGTTCATTTACTGTACATTGCAGCTGTAAATTTGGAATGTATCCATTGTGAGACAAATAAAGGTTTTCTTCTTCTTCTTATTATTATTATTATTATAAGATAAGCTAAATTAAGATAAGATAACCTTTATTTGTCCCACACTGAGGACATTTGCAGTCTACAGCAGCAAAAAAAAAAAAAAAAATTATCACAGCTTTTTAGATCCGTCAGCCAGTCCGACATCGTTATCTTCACCGCGCTTCCGTCGTCACTGAATTACAGTTCGTCCCTGCTAAAATGACAGTTCGTTGCCGCTATTTTAGGAACGACAGATCTTCATCTTCTTCTACTCCCACTACTTCGTACGTGACACGCATTCACAGCACAAGCTGTGTATCTACTGCGGTAAAGAACCATGCCGCGTTCCGTGAAATAATTCAATTAAAAAAATTATATATATATATATA